TAAACATAGAGAATTTCCAGCAGCCCAAACAGAAATAGCAGACAAGTCACTGTTTATTTTGAAACATAAATCCTCAACGAGACCAATACGACTGGACAGGTACAATTGTATGTCATCAGCATACGCATGGATATTCACATATTGACGAACAGAAAAGACATCATTGACAAAGAGACTGAATAACAGTGGACCGAGAACAGAACTTTATGGAACACCAGCATACACAAATCTAGGCGGGGATATTAGTTTGTTTGACTTAACCTTCTGCGTTCTACCCTCCAGGTAGCTAACCATAAGTTTTACCGCATTGTCTTTGAAGCCGAAATAATGTTTGAGCTTCAAACACAACAATTTGTGATTCACTGAGTCAAACGCCTTTGAGTAGTCGAGTAAGCAAAGAAGTGTCAGGTCGCCATTGTCAAGGTTAATTCTAATATCATCCAGTATTTTGACCACTGCCGTCGAACAACTATGTTTTTGTCGGAAGCCAGATTGTAGTGAAGAAAGCAGACTAATTTCTTGCACAAATGCAGAAATTTGCACAGCCATTAAGTTTTCACAAGCCTTCGAAAAGACAGGCAATATGCTGACAGGTCTATAGTCGCCAGCATAAGTAGCATTCGTCTTCTTCGAAACTGGCAAATTTATAGCTTTTTTCCAAACTGTTGGAAAGCATGAGCTGGTTTATGATATGAGTGAGAGGGCCTATTATAAATCAATTACTATTTTGACGAATTTCAGCGAGATTTCATCTTCCCCTATAGCGCTAGACTTAATTTTTGACAGGGCCATCAGGACCTCAACCTCGCTAACTGCCATAAATTGAAACTCGTGTTTTGGACTAGGAAAAGGCATGAAATCCTTCAACACGGGAGCACAATGGTTTTTGTTGTTGGCACTGATAAAATATTTGTTAAGCTCATCGGCGTCAATTTCACACTGCAGCAACACTTTTGATGCTCTCTATATGGAGTACCTTCACAGCTTTGCACTTAAGGCGAACGAGTACATACACATACCCACGAACTGAAAAGGCAGCTACAAGTTTTTGATCTCTTCTTAGCTGCATTGCGAAGCGCATTAGCTCGCGGTTGTTTTTTTAAAGACACTCATGTATGTGTATTTTGCCATCCGAGCTCAGGCCAACATCACGTAGCAATAGCGGCCGATTTTTTTTTTTGCAAAAGCGAGCCACTGATTTGAAAAGGGTGGATCGATCAGCAGAAGATGCTAACTTGACAATCACCGAAGCAGCGGAGTTGTTTAGATACTCGAAAGGCCGAGCGAACTTGAAGCACAGGTAAATCCAATGACTGACCAGATTGCCGAAGTCATCTTCCAAATTCTCACCATCCACATAGGGGAGACCATTGATAATGAGGTCGGTGGAGACGGCTTGGTTTTGACATTCGTTAAGCTCAGTCTTAGAGTGCTTTTACACAGTTCAAGTATTGAACTCAATTCTGCTCGGACATGGAAGAGAGGGGGTGAGAAGAAAAGGGACGAGTACACATGCGTCCGTACCGTCAAGTCGTTTCAACTTTCTTGACATTCCTCTTTTGCATTTACCATTTTTGACATTCCCTCTCATACTTGTTTTTGCATTCTGCAGAATTTTGCGCGGTCAAGTAAAAGCGAATTTGACGGAATTGAACGGTAACTTGTGAAAATAAATTTTGTTTGCTGAATTTTAGTACATTGGATGTATATTAATTCAAAGAAAACTTTGAAATTATGGCGTTCAACTGGAGCAAGGAAAACGTGGAAAAGTTTATTTATTTATACCAGGAGCAAGAATGCCTTTATTGCGTCAGCTCAAAGGATTACCTCAACAGGCAAAAAAAGGCGCTTGCATTGAATAGCATTCTTGCGGAAATGCAAAAAATAGACGGGCGCATAACAATAGAGGACCTGAAGAAGAAGTGGAAGAGTCTGCGCACCCAATATCTGCAGGAGTGTAGGCTTGTGAATAACTCCAAAAAAAGTGGCGCTGGCGTGGAGGACCTATATACTCCAAAATTGTGGTGTTTTGAGCAGCTACAATTTTTACAAAGCCATGTTCAACTACGGCGAAGTATTACTAATGTATGCATGCAAATATTTTTGTAAATATGTATATGCAATGTGTGAAGATCTCGTTTTCATTTCAGATTAGTGAAGAGAGTTGGGATGAGTCCAGTAGCGCAGAAAATCAAAAAAAACCAAAGGCGAAGCTGACATCAATAATATCAAGCATCTTATAACAGAAAAAAAACCAAAACCAAAATTCGACTGGATTGGAAAGCAAGTAAGCGAACAAATGGAAGAAATTGATGAAGAAGATCAGCCAAATGCTGTTATGGAAATTCAAAGTATAATGAACAAGTACTGGCAGAAAGCAATTAAAAAAAAGCAAGAACCTGCACTAAAGTTCTCGCCGTCAACCTCATCAAATAACTCGGGCAGAGACATTTTACAGGAGTCAATGCTTGGTGTATTTGATGAAGACGATTTTGAAACTTTTTAATGATGTCGACATAACTTTAAAGATCTCGTGTGCCTTTTAACACTCAGAAATGCCAAGTAACGAAATTTGTTTTGTTTTAAAAAACAAGCTATGAATTTAATGTTAACCTTTTTTGTTTTTTGTTAATGTTTTACTCTATACAAATTATTAAAACTGTCGAATGTTCAAATTTATGTTTATTTCAAAACTTAAGAACTAGTCATACGTTGATACAACTGAAATTGTATGTTAAATGAACTGAAATAAAACTTACACTAGTTTACAAATGTTTTGTTTGGTTTAGTTTCTGTACACATTTTACTTTGATAAATGTTTATCGCCAAAAAAGTTATTTATTTTTGCATAGACTGAAGAAGCTTAACACGAAAATTAGTTCCAATTAGTTTTTTTTGTTTTGTTGAATTGCAACTAATATGAGAGATCTCAAAATACACCGTGTCAAAATTATAAACGCATCACATATTGACAAGTTTCAACAATAAATTGTTTGTTATTATATTCAAGTATTTAAAAAAATTTTTTCTTCTTTAACAAACTTGAAACTTGTATTAATACGGATTTTGTTAAAGAAACTATTTTTTTAAATACTCGAATTAAATAACAAACAATTTATTGTTGAAACTTGTCAATATGTGATGCGCTTATAATTTTGACACGGGGTGTATATGCAGATTTTTGAGGTTTTTCGAAAAATCGATATTTTTTAATTTAACTTCTGATTAACCCAGTCTAATTTGCCTTCTTCGCAGAAGTATTCAGTAAAATCCTGTCTAATGCGTTCGGCTTCTCCTTTACGTGGATTATATGGCCCATCTGAAGCAGTACTCAGCGTAGTACTGCTATTCGAAGTATAGGAATTTATGTAATTATGGTCAGCTTGCAAGAGAAAATTGTGAAGCACGATACACGCCAAAGTGATTTTTTCAACTGTCTCAACCTTTACGTTCATAGTTGTTAAAAAAACACGGAATCTATTACAAAGTATGCCAAAAGCATGCTCTACGACGTGTCTTGCTCGTGATAAACGTAAGTTATATATTTGCTTCTTTTTGTTGTTCGTATGATATGGATAATGTTTCATAATGTGTCTCTGTAGAGGGAAAGCATCATCCGCTACGACGACGTACGGCAAATTACGTCTTCTACCCACTGCAGAGTCTCGTGGCAAGCTTTCTTCGTTTTCTAGAATTTGTTTGAGTGGACTTCGTTGTAGCACACCGGCATCGTTTGCACGTCCATTTGTTCCTACATCCACAAATAAAAATCGGCAGTGGGCATCAACAAGAGCCAATAAAATTATGCTGTTGGTGCCCTTGTAATTGTGATAGAAAGCACCTTGCGTACGCGAGACTCGAAAGTTAATGTGCTTTCCGTCCAAAGCACCCAGACAGTTTGGAAATTGCCATTTTATAGCAAAATCCTTGGATATGAGTTCCCATTCTAAAGCGTTACTTGGTACCTTTAAAAAATAAGTATTTATAATATTGAAAATTTATATATTATTGATAAAATACATATGTACCTGCAAAAACGATTCTTTCAACTTCCCATAAATTGCTTCACACACCTCTGGTATAGTCCGGCAGATGAACGACGTTGATAGACGGGATTGATAGTTTAAACTTATAAACGATTCTCCTGTAAGAAATTGTGTTAGCTATAACTTTAA